GCCTGCAGAGTCAGCGAGATGGCAGCTCTGATGGCAGTACCACCATACCTAGTCTTTAATAAAGATGGGGTAGTCCTAAGACCCCACCCAGCCTTTATTCCCAAGGTCTGCTCCAAGTTCACATCAATGAACCAGTCATCCTACCCTCCTTTTATCCTAAACTGCATGCGTCTTCCCAGGAGACAACTCTTCACTCCCTTGACGTTAGTAGGGTGCTTGCCTTTTATATAGAAAGAACTAAGCCATTCTGTAAAACAGACCGTCTAATACTCTTGCTTGTGGACTGATCTAAGGGCGAAGCCATCTCAGTGAGTCGCAAAACTCATCACTTCTTTCATCATTACCTGTTACTCTGTAATGTCACACACTACTTCCTGCTCAACCAAAGGCTCACTCCACAAGAGCAATAGCAGCCTCAGTTGCTTTTCTCAGGGATGTGTCCCTTAGGGACATTTGCCGTGCAGCCATGTGGTCATCCCATGATACCTTTGTGAGACATCACACAATCCAACACCAACTGGCTGCAGACACTTCGCTGGCATCAGCACTACTATCATCAACATTTAAATTGTGACTCTAAGACCCTCCTTCCGGTCTTTCTGGGTACTGCTACACAGTCACCTACAGGGGAGCACCCACAGGAACATCACTCAAAGAAGAAAAGGAAGTTACTCACCTTGGTGCAGTAACAACTGTTCTTTGAGATGTGTGTCCCCGTGGGTGCTCCACTATCCGCCCTGCTCCCTGCTTTGGAGTTTCTCATTGTTTTTCAGCTCTCGGGGTGGATTCAAGGAACTGGCGGGAGCTGGACTATGCACATGTGCAAAAGAGCGCGAATGCTGCAAGGCACCGACCATGCATGTGCGGTCTAGCCGAACACTGCTATGAAAAATCTCCGATCTGCAGCAATGGGACGAACCCAACACCTACAGTGGAACACTCACGAGAGGGATACATCTCAAAGAACAGTCGTTACTGCACTAAGGTGAGTAACTTCTTTTCACCTTATAGTGTTAACTCCCTTCTTATAACATACTAGTATATTTATGCCTGTCTGTATATAGTTTCCACTGCATGCATCTGATGAAATAGGTTTTTGCCCTTAAGCTTACGACTTACACATTTTTTTAGTCTCTAAGGACCACAGAACTGCTCGTAGGTTTTTACACTTACAGACTTAGATGGGACTTTTTATCCATTCTTTGTACTCATTTGGCTTAATATTATTCCTATTCAAGTCAATAGCAAAACTCCAATTGATTAAGTTCAGTGGTTTTCAAACTTTTTTTTTCTTATGTCCCAGTTGAAGAAAATTGATGCCCATGACCCAACATAATTTGACTAGAGTGTGGGCTCTGGGATGGAGCTGAGGATGAGAGCTTTGGAGTGTAAGGGGGGGAGGGGTCCCTGGCTTTCGAGGCATCAGGCCTGGGGCAGGACAGGCTTACTTTGAATGGCTCCTAGTCGGTGGTACAACAGTGGTGGTAAGGCAGGCTTCCTGGCACCACAGATCATGTTGCACCCCAAAAGCAGGTTCCCAGCCAGTGAGAGTGTGGAGCTAGTGCTTGGGGCAGTGCGTGGAGTCCTGAACACACTCTTCTTCTCTCGTCTAGGAGCCAGGCCTGCTGCCAGCCACTTCTGTACCAGGACAGGCAGGTAGTGTGCTTTAGCACTTCCACTTATCCCCTGATACCACTGTAGCAACAAGACCCAGTGCCTGACTTTCTATGACCCAGTACAAAGTTGTGACCCGTAGTTTGAAAACCACTTTTTTAGTGGGAGTAGATTTGGAACCTTTATATGTGTAATACTCTAAAAGCTTGAAAAATAACATTTATTCACTAGAGAGAGAGAGTGCATGAGATAATATCTTTTATTCTGTTGATGAGAGAGAGAAGCTTTCAAACCACACAGAAATCCTCTTTAGGTCTGTACTTGTGGGCTGCATCTAGACTGGAAAGAACTTGACACTGGCTGCTTAAATTTGCGCAAGCACACTGATGATCTAATGTAAGAGTATTTGCGCAAGAACACTGACAATATGATGCTCCTGCTTGGGAAAAAGCCCTCTTGCGCAAATGTTTTTGTGCAAGAGGACCAGTATAGACAGGTAAAAACTGTTTTGCGCAAAAAAGCCCAGATGGCAAAAAAGGCGATCGGGGCTTTCTTGCACAAAACCGCGTCTAGATTGGCACGGACGCTTTTCCGCAAAAAGTGCTTTTGCGCAAAAGCATCCGTGCCAATCTAGACGCTCTTTTCTGCAAATGCTTTTAAAGGAAAAACTTTTCCGTTAAAAGCATTTGCGGAAAATCATGCCAGTCTAGATGCAGCCGTGGAGTCTGAGTTAAATAACATCAGTGATGGATTGTTTAGCTTAAGAAGTTAGAACACATATCAAGGGACCATGGAAGATAAAATGGTCTGTTAATACCCTCCCCCCAATCATTGAGGGATAGGGGCTAAGTAAGTTACAGATGGTTGTATTAGGCCATAAATCTGATGTCTCTGTTCAGTCCATGAATTTTGGTATCTGGCAACTAGAGATGTTAAAATGTGTTTATTTAGGTAAATGTATAACTGCTGAAAACTTCTCAGGTAGCTCCCTGGGAGTTGGTATGTAGGGAGCCGGCTTTTAAACCAGTTCCCTGGGTAGATAGGCTCCTGCGTAACTATCCTCCCCCCCCACACTGCTGCTTCTGTATCAGAAGCAGTAGTTGGGGAGCAGCCAGGCAGCTCCCAGCTTAAAAGCTGGCTTCCCACGTGTACCAGCTCCTGCCTGCCTCCCCATGCTGCTGCCTCTGAGGCAGCAGGTGGTAGATTGCACATAACCATGAAAGTTGACAGATAACAAATCTTGTGGATAAGGGAGAAGCAGTAAATGTGGTATTACTAGACTTTAGTAAGGAGTTTGATATGGTCTTGCATGATATTCTTATCAATAAACTAGGCAAATACAACTTAGGCTACTATAAGGTGGGTGCATAACTGGGCGGATAACCGTATTCAGAGAGTAGTTATTAATGGTTCACAATCCTGCTGGAAAGGCATAACAAGTGGGGTTCTGCAGGGGTCTGTTTTGGGACTGACTCTGTTCAATATCTTCATCAACGATGTAGATATTGGCATAGAAAGTACGCTTATTAAGTGTGCAGATGAAACCAAGCTGGGAGGGGTTGTGACTGCTTTGGAGGATAGGGGCATAATTGAAATGATCTGGACAAATTGGAGAAATGGTCTGAGGTAAACAGGATGAAGTTTAACAAAAACAAATGCAAAGTGCTCCACATAGGAAGGACCAATCAGGTTCACACATACAGAATGGGAAGCGACTGTCTAGGAAGGAGGACGGCAGAAAGGGATCTAGGAGTTACAGTGAACCACAAGCTGAATATGAGTCAGCGGTGTGATGCTGTTGCAAAAAAAGCAAACATGATTCTGGGATGCAGTAACAGGTGTTTTGTGAGCAAGACACGAGAAGTCATTCTTCCGCTCTACTCTGTGCTGGTTAGGCCTCAGTTGGAGTAATGTGTCCATTCTGGGTACCACATTTCAAGGATATGGAAAAATTGGAGAGGGTCCAGAGAAGAGCAACAAGAATGATTAAAGGTCTAGAGAACATGACCTATGAAGAAAGGCTGAAAGAATTGGGTTTGTTTAGTTTAGAAAAGAGAAGACTGAGAGGGGACATGATAGCAGTTTTCAGGTATCTAAAAGGGTGTCATAAGAAGGAGGGAGAAAACGTGTTCATCTTGGCCTCTGAGGATAGAACAAGAAGCAATGGGCTTAAAGTGCAGCATGGGAGGTTTAGGTTTGACATTAGGAAAAAGTTCCTAACTGTCAGGATAGTCAACCACTGGAATAAATTGCCCAGGGAGGTTGTGGAATCTCCATCTCTGGAGATATTTAAGAGTAGGTTAGATAAATGTCTATCAGGGATGGTCGATAGTATTTGGTCCTGCCATGAGGACAGGGAACGGGACTCGATGACCTCTTGAGGTCCCTTCCAGTCCTAGTATTCTATGATTCTATGAGCCCAGGCTCATCTGTTAACCATGTGCACTTTCATATCCCTACTAGCAACATTGTGAATTTAAGCTCTGAGGTTTGTCTTTTGAAGGTATTATGCAGGTTTCTGTTGAGGATGAGGACTGATAGGTTAGATACAAACTGATTGTTTTGTGAACAGCTTTCACCTAGAAGTTCTAGCCAAACATTTGTCAGGAATAGTCTAGAACAGATAATACTTAATCCTGCTATGAATGAAGGGGGCTGGACTAGATGACTTTTCAAGGTCCTTTCCTATTCTGTGATATGGTATTTTATCATTTTTCTGAGAATCCATTTGAGAGCATAATGATTGTCTCTCTTCACCCACATAGTTGTTGTTGGGACATTTAGCTCTCTTCAGGTTAGGAAAATGCACTATGTAGTTCTAAAAATCGTCTTTCTCTCACCAACAGCAGTTAGGCCAACTAAAGATAATATCGTGGGACCAACATGGCTACAGCAACACTGCATTCATTTATTTTCCTGTTAGATGTATCCTTGTTTTACTTCAATTTTAGGGGGTTTGTATTAGCACCTGTTATCATAAATATCATATGAACACTGTTATTCTTATGGAGCCCAGACCAAAATGGCACTGCTTATTTTTTGTAATTGCCTTCCTGGTATGTGATGGAGGAGAACTGGTTTATGCCAGCAATAATTTGGCTCATTATTTACTTATTTATACTATTAAGTGCCTAGTCTTGCATTATTTCTATATGTGGTAATCTCATTGCTTCCCATCTTACATAATATTGGAATAAGTGTGAAGAAATATTGCAAAAAATCTTCTCTATGAATAGTTCATTGCTTCAAATATAACCTTGGCAGTAAATCTATTTTTTAAAAAAAGCTATATGAATATACATACATTTTAAAATGACAGTTGCATTTAATTTTTTGGAATGTATTTAGTTTAAGTATTAAGAATTTACATTATTTTATTTCTGAAGTAAAAGAAGCAGCAGAAAAAGTAGAACAGCTTGAAAAGGAATACAAAATGGAAATAAGTGTCAAGGAAAAGCAGGTTTGTTTAATGTAATCTCAAATTTATATATTTTTATTTGGAAGTACAATTCTCATTATGTGGAGCAAAAATGTCGACTAATTTTGACTGATTTCTGTTGTTTCTGACTAATTTAGTTGTAGTGCAGAAAAACCAAAATAGTTCTTTAGAAGGTGCTTTGTTGTCTGTAAAAGATTTTGTACTTTTTGAAGGATGAAAAATTATCAGTGATATTTAAATTGTGTTCTTATTGCTTTGCATTATTTGAATTAAAATGTTAATGGGAGTTATATGCCATTATTATTTGTCCCAACAAATACCATAAAAGAAACACTAAGTTCTGACAGTCCTCATATTTGAGTAATGTTCATTTCACATGTTCTGGTGAAGAAGAGATGGGGAAGGACAATGATGCTGATGCTGGGAAAAAGGATCAAGAAACAAATTAGACGAGAGCTTGATTAGAGCAGGAGTCACCAACTTATCGATCGCGATTGACTGGTTGATCCTAGAGCTTCAGCCAGTTGATCGTGCTCTCCGGACCATTGAAGTCCAGGACTGCAGCAAACTTGTCTCTGTGTTCCTGTTGGGGTGAAGGGGACAGCAACTTTCTGCAAGCTGTCTGTTCCCATAACTCCCATAATGAGAGCTGTTAAGACAGTGCTGGGGGGCAGAGCACAGAGACAAGCTGTTCCCCTTCTCCAAGGAGCACAGAGACAAACTTGGACCTTGCAGTCAGCCTCTCCGAACCCTGATGCACTGCCAGTCAGGAGCTGTTTGTGCTGAGTGTCTGCATTTTGTGCCCCCTCCTGCACCCTTGACCCAGCCCTGACCGCCCTCTGAGCCAAGACCCACACCTATACCCCAAAAGTGTGCTTCAATCTAGAGTCCCCTTCCAGAGTCAGCGCCTCCTTTTCACCTCATCCTACACCTCAACAGTGCCTCAGCCTGGAGCCCCCTCCCAGAGCCTCTTGCGGTAAGCCCACTCACAGAGCTTGCACCCCTCACTCCTTTCTTTTCGCAAAGAAGTAGAGGCCATGTTCAAAGGATCCCACCTGCGGGTCATGTGTTGAATCCCACGCAAACCCAAACTTCACCATGGGCCACAAACAAATAGGCCGCAGGCCGCATGCGGCCCATGGGCCACGTGTAGAGTAGCCCTGATCTACACCTCCATTGTGTTGGAACTCACACTCTAGTTTTGGCAGCTCTCCTGCCTCCAGATTGCTGTTCCTTCTATTTTGGACATTTAGTTAATGCCTCCCTATTTTTTCTTGAGCAGTATTCATTTTTCAACAATTATTCAATGGAAAATAATATAAAGTTAGTAGACTTTTCTAGATCTTGTTATTTATGTATTGTAATAGCTCTTTACTTCATTAGCTATCAATTCTGACTGTGCAAAGTGGTGAAAAAGATAATAAAATAAGAGACACCAAGCTTCAGTTGCAGGAATCAAGGGATAAGATTATTGATTTAGAAGAAGCAACAAGTAAGAATTTTAATTGCTATATTCCAAATAGCATTATTTGTAATAGGGAGAGAGAAAAGCTAGACTGCTCGTGGTGGTGGTGTTGTATTGCTGGGTACTGGTGGAATTTTGGGACTTATAGATCACTTTCTTCTTTTTGAAGCAGAAATTGGCTGATGTGGAATTGGGTATTTAGTTATGTGATTTGTTTACAAAATATGCACAAGTGCTATTTCCTTGAATGCAGTTGGTAACACATCAGATAAGCAGCTATCTTTTTGTAGAAACTTCCAGTAAAGTATCCTATTCCAGTCCTAAGCAACAGTTTTCTTGCCCCCCGACTCACCTTTTGGGGATCTCATTACAAAAGAACCCAGCTGCTTTTAAATGTATCCTGTGTCATTTTCCCCCCACGGGTGCCATTTGGGGGTGGGGAGCAGGTTCCACCTGCATATACTGGAATGCTGCTTGCTCTTCTTCCCCTTCTTTGATCATGGAGCAAGGAGAGAGTACACAGCTTGCATCACAAACTCTTCTGCCCTCATCCCCACCAGCTGGGAGTGAGAGGAATATATTATTGTAAGGGAAGGAGAAGAGCAAGCATCGTCCCAGTAGGCAGTGTTGTAGCCTCTCTGCCCTCCTGAAATAGCGCCTGTATCCCCTCCCCTGGCCTCGTCACTTTATACTTGTGAAATCCTTAGTTGAACAATACTCACTGACACTATGTGGTCTGGAAAATTGAGCCTTGGCATTGTTCGTCTGCTTCTCAGTGCTAAGGAATCTCAAAGCTGTAACTACCTGACTGGTGCTTTAATTCACAGTCTCTTTAACCAGGGTCTGGTGCTTATAGATCAGTGACACTCTAATGGACAAACCATTAACCATAATGATATGTTCAAACTTTAATCTCTAGGACCAGGTCTACAATTGTTTATTATTATTGAGAGCCCCAGGTTATGGATGAGTACCTTGTGCTATGGTGCTGTACAAATAGAAGAAAAGATAATACCTGCCCCTAAAAGTTCATCATCTAAATAGAAAACAAGAGACAGCAAATGGATATAGACAGACTAATGAGAAAACAAGAAGATTGAGACACCAATAAAATCATATAATTTCTGGACCACTTGTAAAAATGTGGGGAGGCTTGTAAGGTGTTGGGTTTTTTTTAAAAGTGTTTTTGTACCAGACTGTGCCTAGCTAGGATAGATACATTTAATTAAATGTTATAAATAAAATATATATTAAGTACTCAATGTATTTTATATTTATATAATGAAAAGTTGTATGTATGCAGTGCTGTCTCATGTCTCTCTTCTAAATAGTTGAGAGAGATCCATTATTTAACTGGAGTATATTGTACAAATTATTATAGAGTAGTACAGTCAAATATCATGTTTAGTGCATGACAGTTTTGAAATATTAGTGTATATCTCATCTGTAATAATTGTCATTTAGAACAACAAAAAGAATTGTTAAAAGAATCACAGAACAAACAGAAACATTTGATGGGAGAACTGGAAGAAGCTAAAGTTTTGTTGCAAAAAACAGAGGTATGACTGGCTCTATTTTTTTAAACAAATCAAAATACAGTATAAGGTAAATGAATAGTGTGTGCAAGCAATTATCAGTGCTTTTCCATCTAAACCCTGAATTGTAGTTGCTTGCTACAACATATTTACAATAAATTTTATTTATTTCTATTTAGACTGCTCAGAAGAGTTTAGAAACTGAATTACGGACTGCAATGAAAACCTTAATTGAAGTCACTGGAGAAAAAGAAGCACAAATGGAGGAACTTACAGAAACCAGGGCTTTGCATGCATCAGTTGTTGAAGAATTTGAAACTGCCAATTCTAATTTGAAAGAGTTGCTGAAAGAAGAACAAAATAGGTTAAAGTTTTTACTTTTAGAGTGAAAGGATGTTCTTGTGATTTAAGGCACTTGAGTCCTCAGCTCTTCAGTAGAGCTTCCTGTGTGTGACCTCGAGTAAAGAAGTTAATCTCTGTGCCTCAGTTTTTTACTTGTAAAATATCACCTGTAATCTCTCAGATCATGTTTCTTGTCTGAATTGGTAGCTTTTTAGGACTGGTACTTTCTCTTACTGTGTGTATGTTGTGTTTAGCACAATGTGGCTGTATTCTCAGTTGGGACCTGTAGGCAATACCATAATATAAGCATTTTATAATAATGTAGTGATCTGAACATTCAGTAAGCATACAATAGTATTATAATTTAGTGCTACTTACTGTTCTTTCATTTCATTTATCATAGTTAAAACTTTTTTTGCATGAAGTAATTGGTAATCAAAATTCATCTCAGTAAAACTAGAATTCGACCTGTAAAGTGAGTATTGTATTGAATTCTTGTAAATAGAGTTTTTTTAAGAGCCTGACTGCATTGCACTATAATGTCATAACACTAGTAGAAGTTTTGAGAAGTTCAGGCAACATGAGGCTAACACTAGCTTTCAGGTAAACTGGTGTAAATCTGAAATAACTACACTGATTTTTCTATGGTGACTCCAGATCCATAGTGTTCTAGTTAGGGGTGAAATCTGGTCATGATTTTTTTAAGGGGAAAAAAATATAGCATTTTTAAAAAATATATATATTCTGGGAACTTATCTTTTTATCATTTTATTTTAACTCCCTTATTATCCTGCTATTCAAGCAACACATTGATGGAATGCTTGTTACTTACATTTCTCACAGCTTACTCGAGTGTATGCATAATATATTTACCTGTTTGCTTGTTAGCAGGCAGATAGACATATTGTATTTCCAATAGTAATATGATTGACTTTCTTTAGATTTTTCTAGTTTGTTATATCTGACATTGGAAAATACTGTTTTCTAATTATGCTTTTCAATAGACTGAAGAAACTCGAAGAAGAGTCAGAATTACTTGTCTCAGAGCTCCAAAATAAATCTCTTGAACTGGGTAAGATTTGCTGAAAAAGGAGTAAGTTGTTTTGCAAGGGCTGGTTACAGGTAAAAATATCAGTATTAGTTCTCTGAAGGTGGTTGTTATCCATATAATACCCACTGCAGTGTCTTATACTTAGGTTTATAATATCAGTGTGTAATGTTGATGAGTCTTTTAGACTGCTCTAAATTATACTGAGGACCACTTCCAGGACTGAGGAAGTGGAAAGATGGCTTCGTAAGCTACCTTTTCTCCCTTTTCCCAGATCCCTTGCCAAGCAGAATGTAAATTGATCAGGAATGCTCGCTCTAAGAGTTTTATTATTTTTATAGTCTTATTATTATATTCATAATTGTACCACCTATCCTTTATGCAAAAATACTTCATCAAAAAGGTATTTTGTGAACTGTTGACTTGAATATTAGCATTCATTATTTGTGATATGTGATTGATGACTAAAAATCAGCATTGTTGGATTACTCTGACTTAATATCTACAACTTTTGTTAAACAGGAGGAGGGGGAATCAGTGAGCTTTTAGGATAGCCTTGTGAACACTTGTGGTCAAAATCTTTGTGCAAGCAGACATTTACAGAAGTATTCTGAAGCTAGCCTTGTATGTGAATTCTCACAAATAATAATTCACTTAGTTTTCCAAAACCACATTGTCACATGGCTATGGGGATGACACTGTCCTGGGAGGAATGGCCCACTTCACCCCTATTGCCCTTATCCCTGCCTTTTTTATTTCCCCCAGCCGGTGCCTCTATTCTCACCCTGGAGTCTGTTCTCTCTGCCTTCAAGCCCCAGGGTCTAACCTATATCTCACCCCTACTGATAGGAAAGTCCTGTCCATTAGTCCCACAAAGTGACCCAAGGATCAGAGTCTGAATTTCGCCCCCTTTTGGCAGGGTAGTGCAGTTCAATGCTCTTGAAATGACTCAAGGGTCAAAATTTATAGCTCACCCCCTTTTTGTCTGAGCAGTTCAGTTTAATAGTCCCAAAGTAACCCCAAGGTAGAAGTCTGTTGAAGTCAGTAGATATGGGAAAGGTTTACATCCCCTGGCAGGGAGATCCAGGCCCTCCCACTCCACTGGACCCTTGCTCAGAGGCCTGTTAGTGGCTTGCTCTCACCACTGCGTCAGTGGGGAAATCCAAACTACAACATGCTGACTCCTTGACAGGAGCCCACTCACCTGGTGGCTGTCGCCACTCCTGGGCTGCTTCCTGCTTCCCTGGTCTCAGGTCACTGGTGAGTCTCTGTTTTGTCACCTCTCTCTGCATTCTGATTACTTCCCCTTATTTCTGAATCCAGCACGGTCCCTAGAGTTGTCCAGTCTCCAGCCTGTGTGGTAGTGTCCTGGCCTTTAGATAGTTGATGGAGCTGGATCAGCATGTCCTCTTCCTCCAGCTGCCAGCCCCAACTGAGTTCAGCTGATCCCTCTGATAGTAGTGCAGCCTGAGCATGCCCAGTAAGATACAGGGATGTGGCCTCCTCTGCTTTCAGAGCTGAGTTAACCCCCTCCTGCTCAATGCGGATGGAATACGCCCCATCTCACACGATATATAGATATAAATAGGGTTAGATTAGGGTTATATAGATATAAGTAGGGTTGTGAATACCATTGAAGTGAATGATTTTATTTTTATTGAAATATATATATGTTCCCCAATACTTTTTGAGGTATTTGTCCCATTCAACTTTCAATTAAATCATGTTACTAAGATACAATTTAGAACAATTTATAGCTTTGAATTAAGATTTTGGATGTAGGCCAATATCACTTTTAACACCATAGAAAAAGATATTCAACTGTAATATGTAAATTAATTTTCATATATGACTTGAAATTAAACAATATATTTTATCCTGATTGAGCAAGATACTTAAGTACATGTTATAATTTTGAGTACATTCAGTGCCAGTGAAGTCAATAAAACTACTCATTTGTATAAAGTTAGGTACTTTACTGAACTGAGGCCTGAAAAGTTTTTTGGTGGGGGGAGGGAGGAGGCAAACAATGTCAATAATACATATCAAATTGTATCCATTTTGTATTTTATCTTTACACTGTATTTTCTGTAGAAGAGATGGCTAAATTAAAAAGTGACAAAGAAACACAACTTGAAGATCTGACAGAAGCTTTGGTAAGTAAATATAAATTGTCCTACATGCTAATAATATAGAAACATTTATTTTTCATTTGTTGTCCAAGACCCCTTAAAAGGCTTCCTAAAAACTCACATGAACCCTCTTCAATCTGTTGCTAACCTAATGCTAAATGTAACTTTGTAACTCATCATTTAGACTATTTTACGTGCCTTTTTTGATGTCTCTGAATTCTTCTGGTTCACCCTGGCTCTGGCTTTCCACAGATCTACCATCTGGGACCTTGTCTCTTATATTTGGTTTTGGTGTGTGGCTATGATATGAGCCTTGATGCCCTTTTTCATTTTCTTCTGCACTTCTACCTTTTTGCATGCCATCCTATGGATGGGATGACCTATTGGTATGCCAAGCATTCACTCTCTCTTCATTCAGATACCTTTCTAAATACTCATTGCAGACATCATGGAAGAAAACCCCTGCCCCGTTGAATTATTTTGAGATTACATTTGAAGCTGAAATTTGAAATGCGTTCCAGTAATAATTAAAAATAAATAAATTAATGCCACCTCATGGAATACCCACGGTGGACTGCTTTTTCTGTAACTTTTAGTCTGTAGAACTAGAAAGTAAGTTTTTTAGAGTGTCTATTTTGATGTTCCATATAGAGCGTTAAACTTCTGTAGCACTTCTTGTGTTAAACATAAAATTCACAAAAATCTAAATTAACAAACATCATGGAAGATATACATTCCAATTTGAGAGACACTCACACTAATATTATTTCTGATGAAGCTAATGTGCTACAAATAGGGTGTGGTTGCAGTGGTATGGCATGAGCAACTGGAGGGACTAACCTCTCTAACTACTTAACTGGTTTCTTGGATGTTTATATATTCCCCTACCCTCTATATTTAGCATGCTAGTGTAATCATAGCTAGCATGTGTATGCTTCCTCAAGCTGGCATTTAGACCTTCCAGCCTGAAGCATAGATATAATCTTTCCTTAAAGTTCTCATATCGGGTATCCTATATGATTTTCACATTTTTATAGATATGATATGAGGTTGCAGGAAATGTGTGATAGAGGCTTTCATGGTCCCCTTTGCATTCTGTGATCTGTGGGATTACTCAGGCATGGGACAGGAAGCACTTCCAGCATTGACATTGAATGGGGCAGGATAGGGAAGAGGGAGTAGTAGTGGGATTTTTTTGTTGTGTAAAAATTACTGAAAATAACCTATGTATTTAATTTTCTGAATTTACTGTAAGATACATTTAAAACATTTTCCTTTACTTTTTAGGAGAGGTCACTCAAATGTCAAAAAAATTTAGAGCAACAATTAGCGAGTGAACAATCAGAAAAAATTATTCTAATAAAAGAGAGAGAAATTAAGGATTCTGACCACTCAGATTTTCAGGTTGGATGATGTGGATTTTCTTGTTAATTATATATTTCATTTTATTTACATTATCTCTTGAGCAAGCTATTTCAGAAGTTATAGATTATTTGAACATTGCCTGTACATAGTTTCCCATTTATGATAATACACATCCCCAGTTCAGAGGCTGGCAAACTTTAGAAACCACTGCCTACTGGGGCCATGTACATGCCCCTTTATAGACAAAACCTTAAATGGTCTGAAGCTATAAAAAGAGCTCAGGGTCCCAGTTGCCACAGTTCCCTCATTGGTAGCTGTATGCTACAGCACTTGATTAGGTATAGAGGGTTCTTCCCACTTGGAACAGACTGAGGGGCCAAGTAGAGTGACCAGACTTCCCAATATTATTGGGGCCATCCTGATATTAGGGATTTTGTCTTGCATATACTACTATACTTCCACTTCCCTCTCAGACTTGTTATTATCAGGATTGGGGAACCTTTTTTGGATCAGGGGCCTGATAACCCACAGAAAAATCAGTCAGGTGCTGTGGGGAGACGGTGGGCAGGGAGGGAGAAATGTAGTGCTAATATGGGCTCCCCCAATGCTGGAGGAGGCCATAAGCTTTGGGAGCCAAGTCCCAGCAATCTAGGGGCCCCCAAGCCTTAGGTTCCCCATCCCTGTGCTTTATGATCACCATACAGCCAATTCCAGGTCCTGGAAATCTTAGATTCAGCCAGCACTGATCTGATTAAGCTCTCTATGCTATGCATTTGCCAGACTGCAGTGAGGGGATGCAAATGCCCATAGCACCTTAGGGTGGCATGGTGGTTAGTATTGCCTCTGGCTTTAGGCATGTGCTCCCGGTGTAGCTCTTGTGTCTGGCAACTCTTGGCATTTGGGATGCTATGGTCCAAATGCATAGCTCTTGAAACTAGGGCCATCTCCTGCAAGCCTACGCAACAGCTCTTGCTTGTTCCCTAGAATTCTGTGGAATCTTCTCTGTTTATCCCTTCAGGACCATGTGAGAGTGAAAGCCATCAGACAGATTTTGCACAGGATTCTAAACTACTGTTATTCTTAACAGCATGGGAGAGAGAGAGACATATTTAGATGAACAATAATAAATGCCTGCTTGTGTTTTCCTTGTCTCACTTTTGTTACCACTTTGAAGAGTTTTTTGGATTTGGGCAGAGTCCTCTGGGAAGTCTTACAGCCTTTGTAGGTCAGATTTCTCTGATCTTGGCTGGTCCTACAGTTAAACTGGATCCTCTTTGTCCCCCCTCCATGAAGACATGCCCATTTCTTTCTTAGTGCTATCAGTTTCTTGTTTCTGTCTCAGTGAGCCTGTCACTCATATATTTCTCCAACAATATCTGGTTCCTTTGCGATTGGAGATTTTCCACTCCTCCCTCTCTGGAGAGAAGATGAAGGGATTGACTTCTCTCCGCCTATGCTAAGCTATTGGCTTAAAGTGTTTCTACCTTAATAGCCGACAATATAAGGTTTAATGATTGATTATTTCTCCTGGTCTGGCGAAGACTTACTTCAGTCCCTGTCAGAAAAAGGTAGATTCCACATCCTTGTTCCATGCTACAACAGTTTCATAAGAATAACTTCTTCAAGTAGTCCCTGTGGGTGCTCCATCTTAGGTGCGCCAGCAGTGCTGCGCCCACCAGTCAGAGATGGTTAGTAGCAGCCCCCCCCCGGCCGGCCGCACGCGCTACACTCTGGCGTGAGACACCCAGAGTGTGTAATGCACATGCGTGACCAGCTGGCTCCTCAGTTCTTCTCTGACCGCCGCCAGCTTCGGTCGCAGAGCAGCAGTCATCCTCACATTCAGCCTTCTCTGTCCTTTTAGATATTCAGCTAGCCTTAACTTCAACTAATAACCAGCTGAACTGATACTATTCATTTGAAAACAAACAAACAAACAAATCTCTGTCATCTGCTTTGATAATGGCTGCTGTTCTTCAAGATATTACTCAGGTCATGCCCATCTCTTCTGGCTTTAAAAAGTATCTGGGCTGTGGTCTTTCTATAGCTGTAGTGGACAGGCACTCTCTGACTATGTCTATGCAGCTTCTCTCCTCCACAAAAGCCTACACAAATGAAGCGTGGATTAGCATATTGCAGCACTTCATTTGCAGAATCAATTAAGAGCCCTTTTTGCACAAAAACACCCTCTTGTGCAAAGACCGTTCTTCCTGAAAAAATGAAAAAAAAAGTGCAAAAACGACTCCTAATGAATTATGCAAATGAGGCACTGTAATATGCTAAGCCACGCTTTGTTTGCATAAATTTTTGCGGAAGAGGGAAGATATGTAGATGTAATCTCTGTGTCTGCTGTCTGGGACAAGACCACAATACAGAGCACTGTCAGGAAGGACTGCAAAAAACTGACTAAGCACACAAGGAGAGCCAGGCAGCTACAGCTCCATGTGTTGCAGATGGAGACAGCACTGAAACCTCCTTCAGATGCTTCCCTAAACTCTCCCTTCAGGCATAGCCCACCAGGGGCAGAGGTGTGTGAGAGGGCTATTCCAACTAAAAGACTGAGCACCAAACTGAAATTTCCCTCAGTGAGGAAGAGGTCTTATACTTTCTCCGAGTCTACATCCACAGTGAGGAAATTGACAAATTCAAGGCTTGACACTACTGGCCCTACACCATCAAGGAGGGCAGTTAAGAGTTCAAGTCCTGGCTCCCAGAAAAGTTGCAACTACAAACAGGGATCTTGTCCCTTCTCACACAGCCATGCAGCAGGGCTGATGCATAATGCCGTCACTCTGGCACCGGCTAAAATGGTGGCAGAAAAAAAGTGGGCACCGAACTGTGGTGGCACCATCAGTGGCATACACGCTGCCCGCTGAGCAGCTGGCACGGACCAAGTGCTCAAAAGCGCCTGGCATGCTGCCAACATGGACTCCCCACAGTGCTGTACCGCCAGTGGCCCCACATCCTGTGTTTCCACAGTTAGCCACAGCGGTGGAGCTGTCTAAAGCTTCAGTGCCAGGAATCCTGCTTTTTGGCATCGATGGCACCCCAGCTAGTTCTAAGTCCTCATTTTCTGGTACTCCTGGGGCTTTATCACCATGGTTCAGTGACTCTGAGGAACAAGAGTTACCTCAACCTCCTCTGCCTAAGACCTCCTTACTGAAACTGGTACACCCCCAGCAATGGCAGCAGCATTGGGGACCACCATTCAAGCCACTAAGTTGGCCATATTGTGATCCATGGGCTATATTCAGACAACAGCCTGTTCCCTGAGTGGGGCATCATTACTATACATCTGTCAAACCTCCTAGCTTACACTCATGGACAGGTCTGAATGTGAAGACGACACGGAGACCACAGGGGTAGAACAGCCCTCACACTTCCCCTTACCTATACACTCTTGTCGATCCTCATCAGCAGAGATATTTACGCCCTCATTAATAATGGTGCAGGGGATGATTTTAAGTCCTTTCAGGACTTTTTAAAGAGGGTAGTTGACAAACAGGAAATATCCCTCTCCAATCCTCCAAATACACAGCATAAGCTAAGTAACATCCTTCACGCCTCAGCGCAAAGCAAATTCTCACTACTGATGAATGAGGTGTTGATGGATCCAGCTAAGCTCCTATGGAAAATGCCAGCGACAATACCACCAACATCAAAGAGACTTGATAGAAAATATGTCACCCCACAGAGTGTGGAATTTCTTTTCAACCATCACCCTCCGCTTATAGTAGAAACTGCAAACCAAAGGGGTAAGCAGCAGGCCATACTGTCAACCCCTTATGATAAAGAATGGAAGAGGCTCGATGCCATGGGCAAGAGAGCATACTCCTCTGCCAGCCTTCAACTGCTAATCGACAACTATGTAATGCTTCTTTCCAAATATACACATCATAACTTTGATCAGTTGTCGACTTTTATTGAAATTCTACCAGACAACAAGAGAGAAGAATACAAAGCTCTGATGAAGGAGGGATCTTTAATCTCTAGAACCGCGCTTCGGTCTGCCCTTGATTCTGCAGATACAGCCTCCAGATCTCTGGTATCTGCAGTGGTCTTAAGACGTGCATCCTGGCTCCAATTCTCATGCTTTCCTAAAGAAGTCCAGACCACAGTTGAAGACCTTCCCTTTGAGACATCCCGACTTCACAGACACCACGAATACCACTCTTCACTCTTTAAAAGACTCCCATGTCACTCTCCAAACGCTTGGCATCCAACCTCCTGCTAATAGGGGGAAGCAGAACAGACAATTTAACCACAGATACAAACAGACGCCTTTCAACCATACTGGGCAATATGATAACAAACGGCATTCAAGACAACCCAGACATAGACAGTCATCAGAACAACTCCTTATTCAGCAGGCTCCAGCACATCAATCATTTTGAAGCCTTGGTCAAGGGTTGGACAGCCCCCCCCACATTCAAGGCAGCAATCCAAGCCTTATACCGTATTTGGCTCCAGACTAGCAGCATTCTATTCTGCCTGGTGATCAATTACGACCGACAGATGGGCTCTTTGGGATAATCAGCATGGGCTACGTAATTTCCTTTAGCTCCAATTCCCACCCACAACCACCATCCCCGTCCCTCTTCAGGGACTCCTCTTATGAAATGGTGCTCATGCGAGAAGCACCTTGTCTCCTGCAGTGGGGGGCCATAGGAGAGGTACCCTTCAAGCACAGAGGACAAGGTTTTATTTCGATTATTTCCTCACAATAAAAAAAAATGGGTTTGGAGACCTATACTAGATCGCAGGAGACTCAATCGGTACGCCCAATACCAATGATTCAAAATGGTAACTCTCGCCACAGTTATACTCGCCCTCGAGAAAGGAGATTGGCTGTCCACCCTTGACTTTCAGGATGCTTACTTCCACATTGAAATACACCCCTCACACAGATGCTTCCTCAGGTTCACAGAGTGAACCAACATTTCCAATACAGAGTACTGCTCTTCTACCTATCGACTGCCCCAAGCGTATTCTCAAAGATGTTAGCAGTGGTCGCTGCCCACCTTAGAACA